CAGAGGAGACGCCACATGGAGACGGAGGGAGAGACAGGAGGGAGGCGGCCACCAGCCCAGGGATGGATGCCTGGAGCCCCCAGAAGCTGGAAGAGGCAGGAGGGACCCTCCCCTGGAGCCTCGGGAGAGAGCGCAGCCCTGGGACACCTTGACCTCAGACGTCTGGTCTCCAGGATCGGGGGAGGGTGGATGCTTCTGGTTTAAAGCCCCTACGTTGTGGTCATTTGTTATGAAAACCCCAAGAAACTCATTCCCCCAATTTAATCCTGAGTAAGCCAAGGGGCCTCTCTGTTCCTCAGGCCTTGGTGGCCAGGTCCCTTTGCAGGAAAAGCCATAAACTGCAGTCTGGCTGGGAGCTCCCAGGAGGTCGGCCAAGACCCGAGGGCCGTGGCTGGGGTCACTGTTCCGCCATCACACCCTCGTTCCCCTCAGTCTGTAAATATGACCCTGCAGCTCTGGGCTGTGCTTTGCAGTGTTGCTGGTCTGACAGACGGCACAACCGCTGGGTGAAGTGACATGGCCTGCGGCCACCCGATAGGCGGCCCCTGGAGTCCCCCAGCCCCATGGGGAAGACCTGCAGGGGTGGGGGTCCCACAGGCGTGGTGGGCGGGGACGGCAGCTCCACCCTTTGTACAAAGCCCCCACCACCCCCCGGGGGACCGATCCAGGCTTGGTTCTGTCCCGTCCCACAGCCACGGCCACGTTCTTGCACGAGCACCCCGAGAGCGGGCCTTGGAGCCGTCCCTTTCACAGTCCCCCCGAACGTTCCTGCCCGGCACCTCCCCGCTCACAAGTCCCGTGTCTCCCGCAGAGTGGACCTGGGAAACGTCTGTGTGTTTTTCAAAGGACAGGGAAACAACTTCGTTCCTGTGCCCAGCGCTGCAGGAAGAAACACACACCCCGTGTCTGAAGCCTCGTTCAACATCCAGGGGCAGGTCTGCCCTGGGCCAGTCCTGCAGCAGGACCAGGGAGCAGAGGGAGCCCACGGCCCGTTTCTCAGGCTCAGTGACTCAGAGTCACCTGTCCTGACAGCAGCGTAGCTCTCCTCAGCCCCCTGCTCATGCTTTTGGAATGGGACCTGGAAACATCTGGCCCATCTCCTCTCCGGTGATCTGCAGGTTCCCAGCACCGTGCATGGGAGGTGTCACCAAGCCCCCACGTCACCCACTGAGGGGCCGTCTCCCCATTACCAGCAGCGCCGCACACCGGGCAGGGCTGCCCTGTGTACAGCAGCCGGCTCTTGGCAGCCCCCGCCTGGCCCCAGCCGACCCTCTATTTATAGACCCACATTGCCCAGCAACCACACAAACAGGACTCCCATGACAGCTGATGGGCAGGGGCGTGGCCCTGAGGTCTTAAATGCACAGATCCTGTTTCTCTAGTGAGCCCAAAAAAGACCCGAGCCCCAGGGCATCCGGGGCCCCCCTCTCCTGACCCAGCTGGGGGCGGCCGGATTCTCTGCAAGGCTCCGCTGCCGGCCAGGACCCGGAGGACGACAGGGGCTGGGCTGTCCCCCCTTGCATGGGTCCGTGCGGGGTGGGTTCCGCATTCCCCCAGGCTGAGGTCAATGCTGGCCGGGTGCTGGCTGGGTGCTGGCTGGGTGCTGGCCGGTCTCAGGGTCAGGGCTCAGGTCAGAGGGTGTGGCGTGGGTGTGGTGTGGCCTTGGCTGTGGCCAGGGAAGGCAGTTCGTGGAGATTTACGAGCCCAGCTGCCTCCGATGCTGAGCCCACTCCGTCTGCCTTTAGAAGATGAACAACCAGGTGGATGGACCTGGAGGGGGTTCTGCTTAGTGAAATATGGCAGATGGAGAGAGACAAACACTGTATGTCTTCACTTACATGTGGAATCTGAAAAATAATACAAATGAACAAGTGTAACAAAACAGAATTAGACTCCCAGATACAGAGGACAAACTCGTGGTGACCAGTGGGAAGGGGGAGGGCAGGATAGGGGTCAGGAAGTAAGAGGTACTAACCACTATGAATAAAACATTTATATAAATGAATAATTTATAATACGTATACAATGAATAAGCTACAAGGATACATGATACAGCAGAAGGCATCTAGCTGATTTTCTGGAATTGTCATAAATGGAGCAGTCTTTAAAAATGGTGACTCACTGTGTTATACACCTGAAACTTAAAATATCGTAAATCAACTGTGCTTAAATTAAAAAAATCAAAGTAAACTGCACAGTGATTAATGAATTGTTTAAAAGATGAATTAAAATAAATAAGATGCACATTAAACAATGATTTTTTTCCTTTAAAAGAGCCTGCGCCCTGCCGGGCACATCTGCATCTAAGCCGGGGCACCCGCCATCCCACCGGCGATCCTGACCCAGCTGTCCCCTCTCCGCTGGCTGCGTCTTGGCTCTCGGAACGTGCGAGCGGAAGGTGGGCCCTCTCAGCTCCCGGCTCTGCCCCTATTAATAGCCACCAGCCTTCAGCATGTGTCCAGCCACAGCCTCGTGAAAACAAGAGCTTTGGAATTTCAGGCGGGGCCGCCGGGCTGGCCCTGCACAGAAGTAGGATGCCACAGCTGTCCTGGGCCCCTGTGTTTTCCATTTTTATTTCCATCTCCCTGGCTGGACGTCTGGAGACCCCGACCCTGTGGGGTCCCTCATAGCCCTCTTCCTCTTCTTTCCCCGAAACAGCCTGTTTCACGGCTCATGAAAAAGGCGATCTCACGCTCATCATGAAAGAGTGAACCTTCACACACAGGAAAAGGCCGCCCCCTGCGCGGCACCGGCCGGGCCAGCCCTGGGACCGTCCTCCCCTCACACCCACATCCCGCCCAGCAGCAGGTCCCAGGGGCTCTGTCTGCAAAGTGCACCCAGGTCCAGAGGATGTCTCCTCCTCTGCGATGTGAGCTACCACAGCCCGTGGTCTGGCCCCCAGCCCTGGGCTCTCTGCCCCACACCCCCTCGGTGGTCTGTTCTCACCCTGAGCCCCCTTACTGAGCCCCCCAGTCCCGTCCCATCCCCCGGCATCCATTCCCTCCAGCAGGTCCAGAGTAGGCAGGTCCCTGGGAGAAGAGCCTGTTCAGTCAGCCTTGCAGGACAGAAGGGCCACCGCCTGGGGCACAAGGCAGGACACGTCACCCTGGGCGGCCGCAGCAACGCACGCAGAGCCTGGAACACAGACCTGCCCGCCCTGCCAGCCAGGAGGTCACGCCCAGCGGTCCCCGGCATGGCAGCTGCCCACCCCCCAGCCCCGCCATCGCCTCCCCCGGGGCCACGCCCAGCTGAAGGATGGCTGTGTGACGCACCTGAAACGGGGCCAGGTCCCAGGTTAGGGGCAGGGTTTGCAGAGTCAGTGGGTGGCAGAGACCAGCGTTTCTGTGCCTGGCACAGCGGGGTTTGGCCTGTGTGCGTCTTAAAGCTGTTGGCGCAGCAGTTCCCAGGGACTCGGCCGCGGTGCTCGTGTCCCTCTGGCCCACCAGGGGGCGCTGTCCGGCTCCCTTAAACGCGTTTATTCCCAGCACGGGGATGCGTTTGGAGCCACACAGTCCTGCCTCACACATCCCAGCTCTCTAAAGCTACAAGGAAATCGAGTGAGATAATTGATGAGTAACACGCTGAGTGAAAAAAAAACACAACTGCACACAAGTAAGGCCGTAGTCCCACAGTGTCGAATTGACTTTTTAAAGGTGAGATGTATCCTTGCGGATGGGAATGTAAAACGGAGCAGCTGCTGTGGAAACAAAATTACCGTCCAACTACCATGCGATCCAGCAGTCCCACTTCTGAGTATTTGCTCCAAAGAACTGAAAGCTGGGTCTCAAAGACATGCTTGCTCACCCGTGCTCACAGCAGGGCTAGCCACAGAAGCTAAGACGTGGAAGAAACCCAAGGACGATGGATGGACAGACGGATGGATGGACGGATGGATAAGCAAATATGAAGTAATTAGTATCTGCACATCTCACCTCCCAGTTTACCCCTTCCCACCCCTCCCCGCAGGAACCATGGTTTGCCGTCTGTTCACACTTAATGAAGCCGCACGCCTGCCCACCTGTGTGAGGCCGGGTCCAGGGTGGTCTCGGGGCGGAGGGAGCGTGGACCACGGTTTGGGGTATCTTGTAAGAATCCCAAGCTGTACGTCCGAGTTCCGTGATTTCTCCAAGTAGACCAAGCCCCGTGCCATCTCTGGACCCGTGGCTTCGGGGGCCTCACTAACCTGCAAACACTCCCAGGAGACAGACACGTCCGGCTACTCCAGCCCCGGCCGCAGGTTCTGAGTCAGGGCCGATTCTCCCTGAACAACTTCGAGACAAATAGCTGTGACTGAGGCCAGAGGGGAGGACAGCACAGGACAGCGGGGGAGGGGCCTCTCCGGCCCGGCCAGGGTGGGTCCTTTACGCCGCGGGGTAGGAACCTACCCTCAGAGGCTCGGCTCTCCAGACAAAGGTTTGACAAGCCGTGCGGCCCGTGGGCTGGACTCCGCCACCCATGCGGACCTGCCAGGACGTGGGGCAGCTGTCCACCACCTTTAAGGGCTCACACGCTAGTGTCAGAAATGTCTGAGGATGCCCATTCCGTAATATTCACAGCCGCTCGATCCCAAGCCCGCGCCCACAGCAGGAAGTGCGTAACAGCAGCGACACTTCAGTCTTCTCCCTTCTCCTGTTTCTGCCCTCCCTCGCTGAGCGAAGATCGTTCTAGAGCCTTATGGAATCAATGGAAAAGCAGCTGCGTCTTCTGTAACCAGCTGACCAGTGGTCGCCCCGCTTTGCGCAGTGCTCTGCCCTCCCTCGGAATCCGCGATCGGTTCTCGGAGCTGCTCCCAGGACGGGCCCACTGCGGCCTTTCTCAGCGGGGGCGGGACCTGAGGCCGGGACCCTGGGGAGCGGCAGATGGGCCGTTCCGTCCATGATCCTGATTCTGTTCTGCACACAAAGACCTGCTACTTGTCACCCTGTGCCAGACCAGACTCCAGAACTTCCGTAATCGATGCAGAAAAAGCATTTGAAAAAAAAATCCAACACCGTTTCATGATGACAAGTCAGTACACGAGGACCAGAAAGGCCTCCCTCAACCTGCTGAAGGGCATCGACAAAAAGCCCAAAGGTAACGTCACGCTGGACATTTATGTGGGCTTCAACTCAATTTGAAAAAGCAAAAGCTCGGTTTGGAGGGGGGAAGAAGCTAACCGGCCGGCCTCCCACCCAGGTCTCACAGCCAGCGGAGCCCACTTGTGATGCAACGGGCGTTAGGTGTCTGGGTGCACCAGACACCGGGGGTGGGGGGGGGCGGGCTGTCCGCAGGCCCTGGGGAAGAGGGTCACCGGGCAGGTCCAGTCGTGGTGGACCCCAAGCCGCTGGTCTGTCCCGCCTGCTGTGGCCCATAAACTTAGGGGACCCTGGGGTCCCTGTGCACCCAGCCTCGGGGACGTCCTTCACCCCCGCGTTCAGCAGGGACAGCACACACAGCAGACGTAAAGCTACCCGGCATGGAAAACAGGTAAGAAGGCAAATGTTCCGACAGACTTCTCCCAACCAAGCACTCCTCTGTTCCCTTGAGAAACAGACCACAGTGACACCACTGCTCCATCTGAGGTCAAGGCAGGAATGGAAATGCATGAACGTCGCTAAAGGGTTTTGGAGGTTGGGTTTTTTTGTGGTTTTTGGCGGAACCTTTTCTCATGAAAATGGCTGGGTTTTGTCTAGAATTATTACCTGCTTGAACCAAAAGCACATTTTTGTCTCAGGAGGAGAAAACAATTATGCTATTCAATTTGTGGCTCCAAAGATGTGCTGTAATATGAAGTAATAAAAGAGGGAAAAACAATACAAAGTAAGAGTGAGATTCAATTACCTCACAGAAACCTGAGGGAAGGAAGCCAGTCTGCTCCTAAGAGCATGTAATCAATAATAGGGTTTATGCGTCCTGTCTTACGACTTGATTAAAAAATTCTTCTATTTATTAAATAAGTCCACGTCCTTCTGAGAAGTAATGAAACAGCTGCTGTGAATCTAGGGTCATTTTTCTTCCAAGAACAGTCGGCGTCCTGCACGACCCTCCTGCGTCTCTCTAACTTTGAACGCGGGAAGGACTCGGTCATCTCGGAGATGACTTCACTGCATCACCATTCATTCTCCTTGAAGGAAGAGGGAGCAGAGATAAGGGCCAGTGTAGGCGCCGGAAATCGGAATCCTGCGTCCTCCAAGATGTGTCCTTTCTGGGATGAAGTCGCCCGGCTATGATTCAGGGCAATTTCTCTTTCCCACTTGGAGGGAAATAACAAAGAGCTTTAATAACTGGGATTCACTATCTGAGCTGGGGGCCTCTGGGCCAGGTGGTCTGGCCCTGATTCCCCGGCTGGAAAACGCTGATGGGGCATATTTTTATGTGGCCAAAAAATACTCCTACGAGAGCATTAGCGAGCCCGTCAGGTGTGCGCACAGCGGCCCCTGCCTCCACCAGCTGGGTCTCCGCCCGCCGGGCACGTGGTAGCCGTGAGAGTACACGGCGGGGGCAAGCTCGGGAGTACAAGACGGGGAGTGTCCGTGAGCTCACAGGTCACAGCGCCAGCTTCAGATAGCTCCAGCGCAGGCACCCCAGCTCTGAGTAGACCTGGGTCCCTCTGCTTTGAAGCGAGAAGGATGAGGCCCAGCCAAAGGAGTGCATCGGCCATTCAAGTGTCAAGTGGCCACCAGGCAGAAAAAAACACGCTGGCCAAGCCCCACCCGACCCTCAGCAGGTGGAGGGGGAGAAGAGGGGCAGGAAGTAAATTCACTCTCCACCTCCCCACCGGTGTCGTCACCCCTCCCCGCCAGCAACACACACACACCTCTGCACAGAACTTCACGTCCTAAGTCGGGGGTGCAGACACACAGCACTGGTGAGCCGCGAGATTCCGGTGTGATATTTCCCCAACCAGGAAGACACTGACCACCAGAACATCGGGCACATGACTCACCCCGCTCCCCTCCTGCCCAAGCCTCTGCTCTGGCAGCCCCAACTCTCGTGGGAATGTTCCAGAACACTCAGAACCACATCCTGTGGCAGAACCTTCCGTAACATCCCCGGTGAGGAGATGGTGGAAAAAAGTACACCCTCAATTTAGGAACCAGCATCCCTTCTGTTTCCAACTCACTCCCAGTCCGAAGTGACAAAGTGTAAATGAAAAACGGGGGCTTAGACTCGCAACGTGGGGTCTCAGCACTTGAAAGCTCTCCTAGTCCCAGCGCAAGTGGCCCCGATCAGGGCCGGCCTCGGGGCTGCTCCGAGACGAGGAGGGCTCAGCTCGATCCGGGAGAAGCTCCGCCTCAGCCCGTCCCTGCCACTCTCTCCACAGCATGGTCTCACGAGTCCGTTTACCGATGGCTCAGACTTAGGGAGACACCTGCCCCGTGCCAGGCATGGCCTGGGGGCTGGGGTCCCAGCAGTGGGCGGTACAGACCAGTTCCCTCTCCTCAGGGGGCTGTGTTCTCATGGGGGCTTGGTAAAAACTGTGAACCCAGATCCAAAGAGCTCAGTGAATCCCAAGCACAAGAAACGCGAAGAAGAACACAGCAGGGTACATTGTAGTCGAGCTGCTCAGACCAGCATTAGGAGAAAATCTTCACAGGATCTGGAGGGGAGAAAAAGGCACGTCACATACTTGGGAACAGGATGACGCTGACAACAGAAGACAAGATGGGGAGCACCGCTGTGAAATACTGAGAGAGAGAAAAGTCAGCCTAGAATTCTGTACCCAGCCACAGTATCTTTCAATGAAGGCAAAAACCAAAGACATTTTCAGGAGCCCAACAATTGAGAGAATTTACGTCTAGCACATCTGCACTCTGGAGACATCGAAGGACTTCCTTCAGGCAGAAGGAACACAGTGTCGGGGGGGACCGTGGGCCTAGTCAGAGAAACACAGGGTGTCAGAAACGGCGATGAGGTGGGTGATTGTGTGCACTGCTTTTCTTGTTATTCAAATCCACTTAACACTTTCACCAGCGTGGCTGTTATGGACTGAATGTGTGTGTCTCCCAAAAATTCATATGTGGAAGCCATGCCCCCCAGTGGAATGGTGTCGGGAGGCAGGGCCTTTGGGAGGTGCTTAGAGTTAGAGGGGGTCCTGGGGGGACACAGTGGGATGCGTGTCCTTTTAAGAAGAGGAAGAGATAGCAGAGCTCTCTCGCTCTCCATCGTGTGAGGACACTGGGAGAAGGCGACCTCTGTGAGCCAGGAAGCGAGCCTCACCAGGAGCTAACCGGCCCCTGCCGGGATCTCGTACCCCCACCTCCATGACTGTGGGAATAAATGTCTGCTGTCTGAGCACCCCTGCCTACAGTGTTTTGTTGCACAGTCCTAGCAAGCCTTAAACAAAACGTATGCTCAAAAGAAGACCTTTTCCCAGCACTTGCCTTTCCTCTGAAGATGTTGGGGAGCAGTAACAGAGCCCACATCTGTAGGAGACGTGAAAATCACACGTCGGGCATAGATAAAAGGGCCCGTGCTGGGTCTGCCCTGGTGACGAGGGCGACGTTAGCGGCAGATTCGCCTGGAGCTTGGCGAGCTCCCTGGGGCAGCCCCGCACTGGGGTCATCACTGGGGTCATCACTCGCCGCTTCTGGCTTTGCCTGGCCCTTCAATGCCATCCTCACAGCTGCTTCCGTCCAGTGTTCCTGCCCTGTGAGGCTTTGTACGGGCGCCCGGGCTGCTCTGACAGGGGGTCCCCGCTGAGGGGCTAAACAGCAGGAATCTGTCCTCGCCCTGTCCTGGAGACCAGAAGTCTGACATCAAGGTGTGGGCGGGGCTGGTGCCCGCTGGGGGCTCTGAAGGAGAAGCTGCTCCAGGCCCCCTCCCAGCTTCTGGGGGCTGCCGGGGACCCTCGGTCTCCTTGGGGGTGTGGACACATCAGCCCACCTCTGCTCCGTCTGCACATGGCTTCTCCCAGTGCACACACATCTGGGTCCGAATTCCCCCTTTTTATACACACCCCAGTCGTAGCGGATCAGACTCCACCCAAGATACCTCATCGTAACCTGACTGTTTCTGTAAAGAACCCCATCTCTGAACACGGTCAGATCCTGGGGGTCAGGGCTGCAACAGATGGATTTGTGGGTGCAGTCCAGCCCCTCACAGGTGGCTGCACCTGTCCTCCACGGCTTGCCTGCTTCCTTCTGCAAGGCCGTGGGTACCCTCATCCCGTCCACTCCTCCCTGGCCTCCCTGGCCACCTTGTCTCCCCCTCCCACCTTGAAGGCACACTCACTGGCGTGCACATCCTCAGGACAACACAGAACGCCTGCCCCTCCACAGAGTCCACATGCCTTGGGGCCACGGCCGGCTGTGGGGTCATCTTACTCCTTTTCAGCAGGAGTAATGGTCATGCAAGCTTCCGTTACACAAGCCAGCCTCTGAGAACTCAGGAAGCCAGGTCCTGGGGGGAGCCAGTTCAATACAGAAGGAAGGAGAGGAGGGGTCCGTGGGGTTTCATATTTAAAAGTCACACACTCCTGCAGGAAAAGAAATATATAGAGAGCAATCCCCCCCACCCACCCTGCTTGTCCTGGGGAAGCTGTTAGCCTGCTTGTGCTGGAACTGACTCTCCTGGGGTCTCGGCCAGAACAACGTAAGCTCCTGTGCAATCCCGGTGGGGCCACAGCAGTGGTGAGAACCCAGACCCAAAGCAGGAAGAGATCTGGGGGAATTACTGGCCACCTGAAGCAGGTCTGTATTGTCAGCCTGGAGAGAAGCTGAACCATGAGTTCCTGCAGACCTTGCTGGATGGGACAGGGAGATTTAACGGTGAACATAGGGACCGGAGCCACAAGATTCACTGAACGCCAAAAAGGTCCCCCCAAACGTGAGTTACCAAGGCAGGAAAAACATAAGAACCCAGCACCTCAAGGAGCAGACTTTGCAAGCAAGAGGAAAAATCCGATCTTCTACCACAAGAAAGAGAATGGCCGTGGCAGGCCGCCTGGGGAACTGGAATTCTCTCCGGCTCCTAAGCTGTGAATTAGGACGTTTCAGCCACTCTTCCGTACGCTGAGTGGAGGAAGAATAAATATGTTAACCAGGCTCGGAATCCCTTGGCTTCCCACCAAACACAGCAAAAACACAGTTTCATCCTTCCTCCAGCTGCCCTCCAAAAATAGAGGTGCCCAGGACGCCCGGAATCAAGTGTCGGGCGCGGAGGCACGCGGACAGATGCCCCTGCAAGCTCGCAGGGATGTTTTTAGAGTGTCAGAACCTAGTCCACTTGTGCTGTGACCAGAAATAAACGCTCCCACTCAGACGGAGGAGGCGTCTGGGAGACACGGGCTGGGCGACATCTCGTCTACGTCCCTCGTCTGCACTCGCGGATAGAGAGAGCCCACAGAGGGCAGCCGCGTCCCCCAGCCTCCTGCCCTGAGTGGGGGTGCCCCGTCCCACCCATGCCTTGACCCCGAGGATCCTCAGAGGCACTGCCCTTTGTTAGGACGCACCGTCTTCTCTCTCTCCGTCCTCACAGTCGCTGTGTCTGTGTCTCCACTGCTCTCTCAGTCACGAGCTGAAGGAGCAGCCCGGCGCCCTCCGGGTTCTCAGCCCCCATCTGGGGGGCCCCCCTCCGAGCTCTAACCACAGAGCCGGCTCTGACCCTGTCCTTACTGGCGCTGCGATCATGCCCGTTTGAGTCCACAGCCCCTGTGGGATGGGCAGCTCTGAGCCGCAGGGGGCCCTGGGCTGAAGCCTCTGCTGGGCATTTACCACATCGCCCTGTAACCCTCCAGAGGGACACGTCTATGTGCACTGCTGGGGATGGGCAGGACACTCAGACCATACAAGTCCTGGTTCACCAAATGCTCGTGGGTGCGGCCTCCTGCATGCATGAGCTGATGGCCTGTGCCTAGAGGAGGGGACTCGAGCTCTCAGTGAGGAGGGCTAATTGCTAATAAAAGAGTTGGGCACAAAATCCTTCCCACAGGACAGCATGGCTGCTAGTTCCATGCAGCCCTTGAGGTGTGTGGTGGCAGGTCCTGTGGACCCTCTCCGGGCACGTGGGTGGCAGGTCCCAGGGACCCTCCCTGGGCATGTGGGTGACAGGTCTCTGAGCATGCCATCACCTTAAATCTGCAGGCTCACAGGGGAAAGAGGAAGGCAGGAAACCACAGGTGAATTGGGTGGACCTCAGTGCTTGTGGGGTTAAGGTGTCCCACCAATATGGGTCGTCTGCTGTCTGCATCCAGGTAGGCCCTCCACATGGGGGAACTGGGTCACACGTGATACCAGGTGAGAAGTGCAGCTGGGGACCCTCAGCATCTCGGGGGCCACCCAGGCGGGGGCCACCCAGTCAGGGGCCATCCTGAATCCCTGTCCAGCCGGACACAGCCCCAGTGGGAGGACAGTCCACCCCACAGCCATCCTGGGGAGCGTTCTGGGCAGGAAGACTCTGGAGAATTCGCTCCGTGGGG